CTAGTCACAGGCGCGTGAGAGAGCCCCTAACTGAATTCCAGGAGAATATTTACCCCATGTACAGGGAGACACGTGTCGAGAAGGCAGTGGTTGATAGCGATAACCACCTCTGACAGCCTACCCCATGTGCAGGAGGACACGCGTCCAAAGGGGATTGGTGCAGGCGATAGTGGCGACAGCTACCTCTGACACACGCGTATGGTGTGTACGGACGGGCAGCTAGGGCAAACATCTCACCAAATCCGGGCAGCCCTAGGTCAGGTATCTCACCCCTATATAAAGGGGGTGAGCCTTTCTTCTTCAACACGATCATTCTATTGCTTACTCTTGAGATTTGATTGAACATACACTGACTTAAGCTTCGGAGGCTCTTCACCGGAAAACTCCTCTGGTGTGAGAGTTCTTTGTAGGTACACGACGTTCAACCGACGAGAAGGAAGGCGATTATTCAAGTTCCAGCCGGTCGGGAAGTTTTGTGTTACCATACATGGACTCACCATATGCAGACTTCTCTTTCTCCAACTTGGCCATCGCAGCTTTATGGGCATCACGGTCTCGTGCAATACGGGCCTTAGCCTCATCGCGGCTCATACGAGTTCCCTTATGTTCGGCCTTTTCAGTTAACAATTTCCCCTCCGCCTCTTCGGTCTTATTCTCCAAGGTCCTGGAATGTTGTTCAGCAAAGGCGAGGCGCGCCCTAAGTTCCTCCACCTCGGTTTGAAAAGCTTTTCTCTCCTCGATAACGCCGAGATATCTTTCTGTGCTACCTCAAGCTGCGAAGCCTGTTCAGAAATTTTCTTTTTCAAGTTGGCCTCTACCTTAGTCGCCTCCTCCTTCAAAGATACAATCATCGCATCTCGTGCAGCAATGGTATGCTTTTTCCCTTCCAGCTGCGCGGTTATTCGGCCATGATCATCTTCGGCCGTAACCAAACTCACCAAAGCTCGGCCCAAACAAGCTTTGGCATAGCTCAAATTGTCCACACTTGACAAAGAGGAGACTCCCACTTCGAACTTGGGGTCCCACACCATTAAAGGCATGCGAGCCACAATTTTTGTGCTTTCCAGCATTTCGATTCTCGAAGACATGTGAGGAGACTTTACCGACTTAAAAGTGGTGAACCAATCTTCAACCACTCCTTTGGGCACATTCACATTTGCTGCCCTTTCCTCATCAATTGATAAAAAAGATTTTTCAAATAACGGGGACTCATCAACACTTTTCCCCTTATCTCGTCGACCAGAATCATGCGTTTTCTTCGACCTCTTCTCCGTGGTGGCAGAGGCCTCTCCGGCAGACATCCTCACCATTTTTCTCTTCTTTTTCTTCTCCGGTTGCGCAGTCTCCAATGACTTCGGGGAAGACTGATGTCTCTCTGGCTCATCAATTGGTACCTCGGTTTGCACTGGTTCTGCCAGAGCCAATTCTTTTCTCGTCGGACTTCCCTCCGGTTCAGCTTGATTAATCGCTGGAGCGTTTACAACTGGCGGCACCTCGGCAGAAACCACCTCTTGTTGAGACTTCAAACTCTCCAAATCAACTACCGATGTCGCACCAGCTCCGACGTCGGTGGACTTCCGTGCTGCGGTCCTCTTTACCAATGCTCGCACTAGATCCCTCCTCATGGCGTCGGTCAATCGCAAATCTCGAATTTTACCGAACTTTGATTGAAGATCCTTATTCAGATAACGACGCCTAAAGTCTTTGGCGTCCTTCACAGTTCGGTAGCTGAAAAATACGAGTAACGGATAATATACTGCACCCAAAGCGTAAGGCAGACAAATCATCAAGAAGCAATTACCCCAATCGTGCCAAAATACTCGTTAGAAACAAGGAATCAGTTTGCCTTACCGGGATCAAATCTAGAAGTTGAAATTCCAAGGGACAAGCCAGCAGCCTCAATTTTTGAATCTACCACGAGCTTCCTATAGTCCCGAATATCTTTGTCAAGGTCGGCAAGCACAAGTGATTTCCCACCAAATTCCGGACTGAGTTTTGGCTCTTTCTGCTTTGTCTCTTTCTCTACAAACAGGAAAAGTGCCAACCTGTTAGTACACAAAACAAAGTCGATATCAGAAAAATATCAATGAACTGAATTATAAAATAAACTCAAACGCTCTAGAATGGATATTCATCGGAATTGTCATCCCGTCGATCCGAGGTTCGTGGAAAAAACTCTCAGACTGCCATTCTCCACCAGCCCAAAGCCATTCCTCCTGAAAACCGTGGAGGGTCTCCGGAATCTCCGTTATTATCTCCCCAACCTTAAGACCATGTTGAGGTTTCGCCCCAGCGAAAAAACAGCAGGATGTTTCAGCCACTCTTCGGTTTGGACTTTTATTAAAGGAATATATGCTTCTAATTTCTTCACACGACAGCAAGCCCTCACCTCTTTCGTGCAGTAAAACCATCAACCCAATAATCTTCTTCCAGCTATTTGGCGTTATTTGACACAGGGGTAACCCCCAACTACGGAGGTACTCCGTTATCAAACTCGGCAACGGAAACCTCAACCCCAACCTCAGGCTCTCTGCAAAAATACCGACACAACCCGGAGGAGGACTAGTTATCCTCTCCCCAGAGTAAGGTGCGAAAATATTTACCGAGTGCGGAATCTGGATTTGGTCCCGGAGCATCACCACATCGGCGTCTGTCAAAATACTTGGCTATCCCTCGAAGTCAATCGCAGGATCGGGCCACTTCCTTACCGATCTCCTCCAATGTTCCTCTAAGTCTAGAGCGTTCGCCTCCACCACGCTATCACCGTCTTCGTCATTCGGCTTGATGTCGAGGTGTCTCACCAACATCGGATCCCACCGATGATACTCGAAAGCCAATTCAACCAACTCCGAGTCATGATACACCTCCGGTGGAACCGACTTCGTACTGGAAGAACTCGCAACAGCCTTACCCTTCCCCTTTGACGCCATCAAATGGAAAGAAAAATACAATGCAAGGAAAAATTGAAAAATCGACGACAAAAACTTACCAAAGAACTCGCGGACAAAAGCACTCAGGGAACAACTCTTGTTTCTGTAGATGAAATTCAATAGTCAGAAAACTGTTCACAATGATTGGGAGATGAAAATAAAAGCAAAGAAAGTCCGATTGATCCTCTATACCTTATTTATAATCTCCGATTTTTTACCGTTAGGGTTCTCAATTAGGGGCACGTGTAACCGACGCGACCCCTAACCCCAAGAGACACAACCTTTCCATCTGACATATTTTACTGCCCACGTGGCACCCTATTAAAGCGACCGTTATCTCATTTAATATCATTACGGCGCGACCCTTCACACCCTTCATTCAATATCCGACCGTTGCATCCTTTCAAGTCTTCTAACACTGCCAGGAATTTACTGAAATTTCACCAAGTGTTCTCACCTCGGAATATAACCTTCACCCCATATCATACAACCCACTTCGGTCACTTCGTATATACAAGCGCATCAGGACGAGCATTTCCACTATACATCTTATTTCCAATTCGGAGTCTCTATCCGTTTGGCAGTACCGACGGCCATCACTTCGTATGCCCGCCGATACTGGTTGCCTCTCTGTTATCATCCGATTCGATAATCTGAAATTACTAACCTCAAACCACATTTTATTTTGATTATTACCAACACCAACATGGTCAGCAATCATCCCGGTTCGCATACTAAACCGACCTAACCATAGAAGACCGAAGTGACCATCGCACCGAGGTCATCCCGAACCGAGGTCATCATAAACCGAAATTTCCACGAATCGAGGTCCCCGTTCCCGAAGCTGGTGACAAGACGCCTACGCGCAAGCTTCACACATCACAAGATCCTTCATCATTCAAGCGGGACCCACTCACATGGCCGCCCACCAAAAGCAACTTTACAAGAAAAAGCTACCGTACACCTCGAGATACGAACCCAAAAAGCTACTATAAATAGCACGTTTATACTCTTGTACAAGGATCGATCTCTGAACAGTCGAGACATATATATAAAAAGTCGTCACCTTCCACCTCGGTTCACCTCGGACCGGGGCCATTATTGAGTTTTGACTGCATGTTTTACGTTCAAATTACTCAAACTACTTAACAAATCATCTTCGTAATCGTTGCAACAATCACATAACAACATGGTTGTTGGATATCTTAGTTGGGTTGAAAGTTATAATGTGTAACCATTTCATTTTGCTAATAACTATGACATATGAAAAATCAATTTATTGGTATTGTTGAATTTCTTGAAATTCACATGGAGCACCAACGTTCGGCCAAGAAAAGAAAAATCCCACTAATATCAACGTTCTTTAGAAAACGGGATCGTCAAACTAGTGAAAGCACATCAAATACGGTATAAAATGAGCATCATGAATTTTATTTTATAAAAGCTCATCGAGATCAGTGAAAATTTGAATATAAAATACTATGTAATTTTTATGAAAATAAGTTTTTAAAATTATAGTCCAATTTACTCTTAATTTTTGGATCCATTCCTGGGTTTAAGCCTTCGACTATTTCGGGTACTGCCCATTTTGTATTGTCTATGAAACGCCGTATCTTGTGACTGTTTTATTAGAGTTTTCCTACCGTTCTGAAAATAAATAAATAAATAAATATATAAAAGGTACTAGTTGCTACTTGCTACTGAATTTTGCACGTAAAATATTGTTATTCTTACAATCGTACGTATACGTATGTTCATATGAAGCCGTATTTTTCAATCCTAACGCAACTTTGATTCTTGCACCTATCATTAATTAACCGGTCAAATATATAATATATATATATATATATATATGAAGTGTAATGCTCATTTTTATATACATTAAATTAGATAAACACTGCTTTCTTTTGTTCTTAAAAAAAAAAAGAAAAGAAAAAACCATCGTGGCTGATTCATTCTGCAACACGTGTCCACCTTGTCTTCCACGTGGCCACAGCACAACTGCTCACCCCGAAAATTCACCGGCATTCATATATGGAAACAGAGACCGGACACCAGGTCGGAGAAAAAATGAAAAAGAGAACCAGAGACATGCCCGATGACATGACAAAAACGGTGGCGACGCCGCCGTGGGAGGTCCTCCACCTGTTCGCTGACCGCCTTGACCCCAAATCCCTGGCAGCCGCTGCCTCCGTCAGCCGGTCCTGGTCGGCCGCCATGTCCGCCGATCACCTCTGGGGCCCCCTTTGCCGCGCCTCCTGCCCATCCCTCTGCTGTCTCCACACCACCGCCGCCGTGCCATACTCCAGGATCTACTCCCTCGGCGTTGCTGCCGGCGAGCGTCTCCGCCAAAGCCCGCCGGATCCTCGTATCTCGGTGGGGGACCTGACATTCTCCGTCGACGCCGTCCTGTCCAATGGAGGCGACCGCGTAGCCGCCGTCGTGGTCCCCGCGGCCGAGGCTAGGCCCAGCGCGTGCGACGTTTTCGAGTTCGAGATGGACGTCGGCGGCGGCGGGGCGGCGGATTTTGCGGCGGAGGACAGGCTGAGGATCACGTGGAACGTGGTGTTTGGGGGATTTAAGAGCGTTTTCACAGCGATGGAGTGTGGGGGGAAGGGGAGCTTCGTGGTGGGGCAGGGGTGGTTCTCTAAGGAGCTGCCGGCGGCGGGGGGAGGGGTAGTCGGCGGGGAAGGTAGTGGGCTGGTGGCGGAGCTGAGGTTGGGGCTGAGAGAGGTGGGCGGCGGGAGGATGGCCGTGGAAAAGATCACCGTCGGGATTATGAGCGCCATGAGCTGGAGGTTCGTGCGTGTGGATGACGCGCTTAGGTACTTGGAGTACTTTCTTTTGCCGGAAAATCGAAATTGATCTTTTTTTGTTTTGGATACCGAAAAAAAAAGAATAAAAATCTTGCGTGATATAAAAAAAGAATGAAAGGGTGCTACAGAATGTAATTAGTGCTTATTCTGAGTTATGATTATGTTAATTCATGATTTAGTTTGAATTTGATCCTTTCTATTTGTTTCAAAATAATGAAATTAGTATTTAAAAAAAATATAAAAAAATTACAAATTGTCTCTGAGCCTGCATAAGCGCCTAGATCTACTTAGACCCACGTGGCGTCGCCCAACCACCTAGCAGCCAATCTAGGCGCTGGCTCGTCTATTATTTCAACCAATTCATGCTGTAACAACAAATTTTATGAAAAACATAAAACTTTTATACAACTTGATTCTATCAAACAATATGCGGGTAAAATCTCTATGTATTTTCTCTGATTCTTCTCTTCATGAATTTGGGATTGAGACCTTCAAAGATGGGTTTGACGATTGAATCTCTTTCGGGGCTTGCTCTTGAATTTCTCTAACATTAATTTGGGAGTCGAATGACTTATTCTCGTATTAAATGTTAGGCTTTGACTTGATTGAAGAAGACTTCTTGGAAGACTTGATTATTTGATCTTCTTGAAAGGCGTTTTGACTTGAATAACGTTGACTCGAGGGTTTGATAGCTTTTTTCCGGATCAAACGCTATGTTGGTTGAACTTCTCAACGAACGCGGCTTGAATGTCGCTTGAACGTCGTTGATATTCTTGGATTGACTTGAGAGAAGTGAAAGTCATCTCTTTACTTCTTGAGGAAGAGCCGCCTCCTCTTTTTCTTCTTCTTGGTCTTCTTCTTCATTGAATGTACTCTTCAGGCAGTTCTTCAATAACTTCTTCAAATCTATAAGAGGGTTCTTGAGAGCTCTTGAATTTGAGATTTTAATTTTTGAGATGTGTTTGATATTTTTTAGGTGTTTGATGTGTGATTTGTGGGACTGAGGAGAATTTATTTATAGGTGTAGAAGAGAGAGTCTTGGAAAAGAATACATCAATTTGTTTGGTCCTTCTTGATTTGATATAATCTCTTTCCTTATCCTAAGATTTGATATAATCTCTTTCCTTATCCTAAGATTTGATATAATCTCTTTCCTTATCTTAAGATTTGACTTGGTGGGTGTTGTGACCATTTTTGTTACGTTTTTCGTTATTGTTTTATCATTTTTTTCTCCGTTTTATGTCTTTTAGTCGGTTTTTAGTTCGTTTTATAGTTTATTGTGTGTTTTCCTTTATTTTGGTATCTTTGTGTTTTTCGTGCATTTTTTCCTTTTTTCTTCATTTTTGGTGTGCAGGTCGGAAGTCTCATGAGAAGTCGATTATAGACCAAACAATCATGGTTGTGTAGATGGACTCATTGGCTACACATAGGAAAAAACGGAATGTGATTTCGAGTTCGGATGAATCCGAACGGGGCCAAAACGTAAAGTCGTGCAAGTTACCGACCCTTTAATGGTTGGAAATTCCACAAAATTTGTATTCTGGTCAAAAGTGCGGTTTTCAAGCATTATTAGATAGAGGGGTTCGTTAGCTACGCATAGGAAAAAACAGAACTCAATTCCGACTTCAAACGAGCCCGAACGAGCCAAAATAGTGAAGATGTGCGAACGAGCCGCACCTTAGCGGCGCTAAGCCTGGCAGACAACAGTTGGTCTATTTTCTTACCTATGTTTGAACTTGTGGTTGAATTGGTGAGAGTTAGGCATCATGTTAGGCGTGATTTTCAGCTATTTTCTCATCAAACTACACCTAAAGGGGAGAATACTTGGGCTATAAAAGGAGGCATCATGATCATCATCACCATCTTTGAATCAAGGGGGTTCTCCCCCTTCTTCCCCTCATTTCTTCCACCTATCTTCATTACCATCTTTCTTTTCTTTCTTTAGTTTTTCTTAAGTTTTTACTTTGCTTTCTTGGATAACTCATTGAAGGCTTGTTGAATTTTAGATTTGGCTTGTATTTTGTTCTTGACATTGGAGTTCACATTAATAGTAAGTTCTATTTTCTTTGAGTTTTTGTTGATTATGGCTATGTTAAATGTGAATATTGATGTTGAGATTGAAATGAGTAGATAATTCCTTAGCTAGGGTTAAGGGATAAATATTCTGGTTTTATCTCGTTTATATGCATGACGATATCTCAATCTTGACGAGTTATTTTAATTATGAATTGATAAATTAAAATTGGTAAATTTAAAATAACCTAAGAGTGACACTTAGGTTAATTTGTTAATATAATCAAAGAGTGACACTTTGATTTGTGCTTAAATATTGATTTGTTAAGTTAGATTTTGTTAATTCTACGAATTGCGACTTGTAGAACCGAAAGGGGAGGAGTCGTAGAAATAATTGATTTCAAAATCGAGAGGGGAGAATTGATGGAACTTGGCTCGTTTAGAGTAGAAATGTTCGGAGACGTATTGTCTATGTGTTAAATGGCTCGTTAATGTGCTCTTTTATGTTTACCCTCATATTACGAGAGTTAGTGAGGTTAAACCGCTAAATGAGTTAGTTAGTCGAACCACTTAACCGAGTTATTGATTGCCGTTAAATGTGTGTAGAACTCGATTCCCTAGCATCTTTATCTTTGTGTCGTTTATATTTTTATTTAGACTATTGTCTTTTGTTATTTCTTATTTGCTATTTTAGTTATCATTTTTCAACCCTATCATGATTAGAATGTTTAGGCTTTATTTTCATTTTATATGTTATCAACACCAATATTAAATTCCGAACAGTCTTCCTCGAGAGATCGACCCGAGAAACGAATCATTCGATTCGGTGCTCGGTAAAATAAAAACAATTTACTACAACAAATTTGGCGTCGTTGCCGGGAAAGACGAGTAGGATATTTAGTTTTGGTGTTTGGTTTTATTTTTTCGTGTTTCTCTTATTATTGTGATATTTGTTTAATTTCAGTGTTTCTTTTGATTTTGTTATTTTCCATTTCTCTTGCTTTTATTTTTTTATTTTTTTTGTAAAAATCGTTAAAAAAAATTATATATATTTCTTGTTCTCGTGTGCCTTGGTTGTTTGTCTTTCTTGTGCGAGGTGTTTTACTAGGAGCTCCGATGGACTCGTACGGCTATTCTTATGCCGGAAGCTCGTCTCATGGATACCCCGACAATTACCAAGAGAAGATGCACTCAAACAGAGGGCCGCCCCATCCGTATCCGAGCTATTCAAATACCTATTACTATGACGGATACTCTACATCCCAAGGGTATGACCCGAGCCATTCTTACATGACATCTCAAGGCGGATACGATTCTTACACTCCAAATCACTACGAGACGCCTTATTACCAACCTTCATCTCCCGACTATCACCAAGAGGTTTTGACGAACACCCAAGAGGTACTTGCGAGCCTCCTATCAATCATAGAGAAATTTCATAATTGGAGGATCATTCCCGTTCCATCCGTACTTCAAACTCAACTCACGAAGTTTGACTCTACCATAGTTGCTTTCCTCGATTTAGACACATCTCATATTCCGCTTGGTAGATATTCTTCTCTATCGGCGAAAGTGTGTCGAGAAAGTGCACGGTTAGAGGGCGAATTTCGAGCTATGGTAGAACAGTTTGCTTCTCTCAAAGAGGCGCGCCTCACTCTCGTTTATGAGGGGTCACAAACTCTCGACACGAGTGAGGACATCGGCGATTTGTATGTTAGAAGAATCTCCTCCCATGAAGATTTGGGATTGAAAACCACATCAAAACTACATTTCGGTGATTGTGCGATTGCTATTGATGAGAGAGAGAGAGTGTGTGGATTCGGAGGACGATACGGTGCATGGTGTGAGGAATAATTCATTGGAGGATCCGATTGTGCCGAGTGAAGCTGAAGGGGCTCGAGATGATGTGAGGAGAAGATAGTTCATGATGTCGTGGACGAGGTCGAGGAGGACGTCGAGTCATTATATAAGGTCATTGACCCGGAGTGTGCATTGATGAATGACTCGACTCATGATGTTGAGTACACGTCCGAGATGACCGGGATGGATTCGATATGCTACACAGACATGTTCATAATTCCGGAGGTCGACCATAGGGCCATGGTACGTAAATAATTACAATTTCTCTTGATAGGTGTTGATATCCGTGCTCGGAATCATAAAAATGTGGCCACGAGAGTCCACTTTGTCCGCTTATGTTTCGTACTACCAACGGGACTACTGTTGGAGAATACAAAGGCATGGCATGATCAACACTTCTTCCTGGACCCCGGTTGATTTGTACAGGTTTCGTCAAGCTAATGACGTTAAACAAGCGCTTCTTGGGAGGCAACCCAAGTGATTTACTGCTTTCTTGTGTGTTTTGTTTATGTGTTTTTAGTTTATTTTTATTTTCTTTGAATAATGGGGGTCTGGAAGTTTTGTTGGGCAGGACGTATCGAGGACCGATTGATTGTGGGCGGAAGGCTGGAACGTGAATGCATATTTCCGTCGAGGCTACTTCAGTTTGTACACCCTTTTCTTTTTCTTGTTTGAATTCCCAGTTTTTATTCCTATTTCCATTTATGTGTTGATGCAATAGGGACATTGCATTATTTTAAGTGTGGGGGAGTTGACGACTCCACTGCGCATTTTGCATGTTTATGTAGGATGTTGTGTTTTCGAGCATGTGGTATTGGTGAATTATATGATTTGTTGATAAATGTTTGATGAAATTGGGAAGTTGTGATGACGAACGTATTGATCATTGCCTCGATATTTACTTGACTGCTTTAAGTGACATTTATTTACCTTGTGAGGTTTTGATCCGTACTTTTCTTTCTTGAGAGATATTGGTCGTATTCTCGAATGATTAGAACTTTCCTTGAGTCTATTTGAAAAGAATTAGTTTAAGTTTGAAATTGCGAAAATGATTGAGGCGTTTTGTTTGTTAGCTCGTTTTGCCTTGTTCTTGACCCTAAAAATACATTTTCCGCTAGTAGCCGTTTAAACTTGAAGCCTTTTCTTGTAAGCCATATATATCTGATTATTGACAGG